TTAAGTCTAATTATTGTAGCATCAGGTCAGCGGTTATATCTAGCGCATGCCTACTGGAATAAAGTGTGTTCATTTGCATCCGCCATCTTGAATGTATGTTGTGTCTTCTCGGAGAACACTTCAATTATCATTCACTAATTTTTCTTTACATTCAAGCAGATAACAATTTTAACATTTCAAAAAAAGAAATAAATAAATAAAAGAAAAAATAAGACAAAGTCCACAAAAGACTTCAATGTCCATTTCACAAGAAAGTTGCCTGCCTTTTGGTCCCTCCTCCCCATCTGCCCATCTCTTACTTGCCCTTTATTTAGAGGCTCAACGAAGGGGTACTTCTACAGCTACTACAGCTACTACAGTTACTACAGCTACTACAGCTACTACAGCTGCTACAGCTGCTACACCTACTACAGCTACTACACCTACTACAGCTACTACAGATACACAATCTACTACGGTTACTGTTCAGCCACAGTGGTGCTTATACATAGTACTGTGCTTATACATAGTACTGGGCAGTGGCTCAGGACATTTTGGGCAGTCTTACACCAAGTACTACCCCAACGAAGCAGCTCTTTGCTTTAGACACAGCCCCTGTAATTAACCCCTAAGAAAGTTTACCTACCAGTATCTCTGAAAAATTGACCCAGTTAAAAAAATCACAAACCAATTGACAAAACAGAAATTGAAATCAACAATAAAATTCCTGTTGTTGTAACTGTAGTCATTGAATAAGGTTCTTTTCATCGACCTCTTCCCCAAAAAACGCAAGAGGCCTGGCTACTAAGCAAACAAACAAAATATTTGCTACATTCACTGTACATCTAACACTTCTAATTTTTAGAATTTTATTGAACCAATTTAAACAGAGCCTTTAAACACCATTTGATATGGAACGAAATCCCCTTAAATTCAAAGCGTTGAGACTTATAATTAAAGAAGGGGGGGGGATTGAATTATTGAAAGAGTTGCACATAAGCTTTAAGCCTTACAGACTCACCAAATGGCAAATGTAAGGTAAATAAACCATTACCACAAGCACTTCTAACACTTCTTAAAACGATACCTATTTTGGTTCTTACTGTATGATCCACCTATAATCGCTACTAACCTTGCAAAATAGATGAAAAACCAACCATGCCTTCCGCGCGCCATCTTTGTCTCTGTGCTCTTTAGTTCCCAGTGCCCCAAATCGTCCACAATGCGCGGACTCCTCGCTCTTTACTGAAATATAGGGCCCGGGTGGGTGCATGTGTTTGCTGCTAAAAAAACATAGACTTTCTAATTTTCTGCGACCTATCCTGTGACTTTGTCGCTCTTATCTACAAAATAAAAACACAGGAACAAATGGGATAAACTTTAAGCGGGATTGTTTTGACAAAANAACCTGGGCCAGAACCGGGACCGCGGCGCTTATTTAGGGGGAGGGTTAATAACTCTTTTGTCTCAAATGCGCCGGTTTTTTTTTTGCTTATCGGTGGTGCTTGTTCCAAGTGAGCAAATACGACGTTGTACTTCGGTTGGGTGTATATTGCCCGAGTTCGTAGTTTTTCAATGTTGCGATTATAATTTCCTCTGAATGTTATTTTTCTGTTATTTGGAATCCATGTGACACAGGAGCTGATGCCACACGGACACCTACCTGCCGCTCAACAGTCACTTTCTGTGAATCTTTTTAAGACGGGCACCTTTGTAATAAACTTGAAATGAACGGTCGGAGGACAAGTAACCCCATATTATAGTATTATTATCACCAACAACAACAACAACAACAAAATTGATAATAATAATAGTAATAAAATAATTATTAATGAAAGTGATAATGATAGTAATATTAAAATTCTCATTTCTCAAGTGGGGGCGGTGGAAAGGGTTTACACCAACTGCGTCCTTCCAGCTTCAAGATCTTGGTAGAGAAGTACAACTCTTTCTATGCGGACGACCTCGAGAACACAAGATATAGTGTCCATAACAGCGAGATCCCGTTGTGTTGGGAATTTGAGTTTGAATTTACCTGCTATCCGTATTATAGGGTTAATTGTCCCTAAAAGGTGAGGTGTCCTTCAGGCGAAAGGCGATTTTTTAAGCAAAATTAATTTTCAAGTCTTACTAGCAAACAATTTTTCTAGGTCTAGGGAAAAGTTTCAAATTTTTGAAAAAAGTCAGGGGCTAACCCATTTAACAAAAAATGCCAAAAATAGTGATTTTTAACACTCGATTTTTTTATAGCCTGAAAAGCTTTTCTATTGATCTAGAACATTGGCAAACACTTTTTCTAGGTTTAATTTGACAGAAAAAAAAAAGAAAAATTTCAAATTTTTGACAAAATCAATCTAGAATATTAGCAAACACTTTTTCTACGTTTGTTTTAACGAAAAACAAAGAAGGGAAAGGTTTAAATTTTTGACAAAAATCATGTGTTAACCCCTTTGGAAAAATGCCCAAAATACGGTTTTTTAAAAGTCGATATTTTTATATCCTGGAAAGCTTTTCTGTCAATCTGGATCATTAGCAAACACGTTTTCTAGGTTTGTTTTTACGAACGAGAAAGAAGGGAAAAATTTCAAATTTTTGACAAAAATCATGGGCTATTGTAAACCTCTTTGGAAAAATGCCAAAAATAACGTATATTTTTATAGCCTAAAAAGTTTTTCTATCGATCTAGAACTTTAGCAAACACTTCTTCTAGGTTTATTTTGAAGAAAACGAAAGAATGGAAAAAGTTAAAATTTTTGACAAAACTCATGGAAAACTCCTTTGGAAAATGCTAAAAATAGCGTTTTTTAAAAGTCCATATTTTTATAGCCTTAAAGGCGTTTCTATCGATCTAGAACATTGGCAAACACTTCTTCTAGTTTTGTTTTAACGAAAAAAAAAAAGAAAAAAAATTCAATTTTTTGAAAAGATCATGGGATAACCCCTTACGAGAACTGCCAAATATAGCGTTTTTCAAAACTCCATATTTCTATAGCCTAGAAACCTTTTCTAGGTTTATTTCAACAAAATAAAGGAAGTGATTGAAACTTTTTGACAAAAATCATGGGTTAACCCCTCTGGAAAATGCCAAAAATAGCGTTTTTAAAAAGATGATACTTTTATATCCTTGAAGGCTTTTTTAACGATCTAAAACAGTGCCAAACGCTTTTTCTAGGTTTCTTTTGACGAGCCGCCAGGGAAAGAAAAGAAAAATCATGGGTTAACCCCTTTCGAAAAATGCCAAAAATGTCGACATTTTTATAACCTGGAAAGCTTTTTCATCGATCTAGAACATTAGCAAATACTTTTCGTGGGTTTATTTTGAAGAAAAACCAAAAAGAAAAAAAATATAAATTTTTGACAAAAATCATGGGTTAAAAGATGCCGAAAAAAGCGTTGTTTAAAAGTAGATATTTTTATAGGCGGAAAAGCTTTTCTATCGATCTAAAATATTAGCAAAGACTTTCTAGCTTTTTTCGTCTAAAAACAAAGAAGAAAAAAAATTCAAATTTTCGACAAAAATCATTGGTGATCCCGTTTAACAAAATGCCAAAAATAGCGCTTTTTAAAAGTCGATATTGCTATAGCCTGGAAAGGTTTTCTATCGATCTAGAATATTAGCAAACACTCTTTCCAGGTTTATTTTGAGGCAAAACAGCTAGGGAAGGAAAAAATTTCACATTTTTGACAAAAATCATGGGCTAAGGCCTTTGGAAAAATAGCAAAAGTATTATTTTTTAAAAGACGATATTTTTGTAGCCTGGAAAGCCTTTCAATCAATCTGAACATTACCAAACACTTGTTCTGTTTTTTTTTTTTGACGAGAAACAAAGAAAAAAAACAATTTGAAATTTTGACGAAAGTCATGGGTTAACCCTTTCGGGAAAATCCCCCAAATAGCGTTTTTTTAAAGTCGATAATTTTATAGCCTGGGAAGCTTTTCTATCGATCTATAACATTAGCAAATAATTTTTTGTAGGTTTTTTTTGCCGAAAAACAAAGAAAAAAATGTTAAATTTTTGACAGAAATCATAGGTTAACCCCTTTGGAAAAATCCCAAAAGTATAGCGTTCTTAAAAAGTCGATATTTCTATAATCTGGAAAGTATTTTGTATTCTAGAACACTAGCAAACGCTTCTTCTAGGTTTATTTTGAAGAAAAATAAAGAGGGAAAACATTTCAAATTCATGGGTTAACCTCCCTGGAAAAATGCCACAAATAGCCTTTTTAAAAGTCGATATTTTTATAGCCTAAAAAGCTTTTATGTCGATTCTGAGCATTAGCAAATATTTTTTCTAGGTTTATTTTTACAAAAACCAAAGAAAGAAAACATTTCAGTTTTTTGAAGAAAATCATTGTTTAATCCCTTTAGAAAAATGGCAAAAATAGCGTTTTTAAAAGTCGTTATTTCTAGGGTCGTTGTTTTTAGTAATGCAGTAACGACAAAACGGGTAACGAGATAAAAATTTAAGAGGTAAAAAAAAAAAATAAATAAATAAATCCTAATGAAGGAAAAAAAACATAAAAATGGTTGTAATATCCTATTAATGACCTTTACCAATTCGAAAATTATGTGTATTCCAAATTGTTTCTAAACAATTGTCAAAAATCATTTTTATGTACAACTGAACAAAACTGCATATACTGGTTTTAAGTCACTGTCCATGAGTAGTATCCAGGTAGTACTACGCTACAATGAACTTATAAACTTTCTGAAACTACGAGGATACAGCCGCCACTTTCCTAAAAAAGAAAATAACCGGGCACGTATCATCCCACGTCAAGAAACTTTTAAATTACAATTAACATAGAAAAACAACTCAAACCGAACTCCCTTTGTCATACAATCCAGCTCTTCCTAACGTTTCCATCGCTGTTCGGAAGAATATAAACATTCTTCAATCATCCAATCGCTGCAAACAAATATTTCCGTCTCCACCAGTCGTTAATTGCTTATAAAAGGAGTCCCAGCCTTCGTGACTTACTTGTTAGAAGCGCTTTAAGTGATATATTGTAGCATATAACAAGAAAAACCTTCTCCGGGCGTTTCAAAATGCAATCATCCATGCTGCCTTACCTGTCCATTTTTAAAACAAGGCCAAATCAACTACTCCTTCACCTCCACCGAAGAGAAACGATATATACATGACCCCTTAAACTGTAAATCCAAAAACCTGTTAGTTATCTATCTCACTGAATGCAAAAAATGCCGCAAACAGTACCTTGGGGAGATCAAGCGCCATCTCGACCAACACTTTGGGGAGCATCGCCGCTCCCTCCTCAACTCAGATGGCCACTTTCCTAATCCTACTCCTGTCTCCGAACATTTTAATCAAGCCGATCACTCTATCCACGACGTTCTTCTTATTCCCTTAGAACTAATCCGTAGCAGCCATGACTCTGTCAGAAAGGCACGCGAGGCTCACCTCATTGACAAAGCTATGACTTTAGACTGAACCTCAGAGTATAAATAGACGTGATGAACTTAATTAGTGACATTTATCTTTTTAGTAGCCTATCATTTTCTGTGTGCTATGTATTCAAATCTCGCGTATGTAACGTTCATCGATCTTTTATCTGTATTCATTTTTCTTTTATAGCCCCCGTTGAAGGTTTGTGTTGCAAACCGAAATATAGGGCAGATAATTCACCACTTTATTTTTGTTTTTTTTTTTCTTTATTTTTTCTATCACTCTTCCTGCCGTAAGGATCAGTTTACTGTTTTCAGTTTAAAATTTGGTACTCAAGATTTTACTGATCCAGGTCTACTAAAGATCCGGTGGACCCTCACGGGTTTGTCGTTGTGGTTTTGACTTTACAAGTGTTTCTACCAGCATTAGTACCAACATCGATCGACATCTGCCTCAATAACATTGTAATGATCTCCGTATGGTTAGTTTGATCCCGTGGTATACGTTGTGCTTATTGAGATCATGAAGAAAAGAAACAGGACGTTTTTTTGGTGGCGCATTCCTTTTTAGACAAAGTATGGGATTACCCTTCAAGGTTACAGTTTCAAGGTTACAGTGTGAACGATTGTGATAACTAACAGTAATGGATTAATTAAATTTTGTAAGAAGATTAAGGAACGTTTTTCTCATGCCAGATGCAGGTCCATCTTCGTAGTCGCAGGATGTTAAAAGCTCTCTGCAAGTGCCTCTTCAGCACTTAATGCTAGGTCCTAATATAAGAGATTGATCGTCAAAGCAAGTCTAAAAGAAGCGGAAAAGTCCCTCACAGAATTCAGCTCTGACAGGGGCGTAGCTGCCTTTAAGCCATTAAGCCCAGGCTTAACAAATTAAAATTTGGGTCAAAATGAGTTCATGTAATTGCATGTTATCAGGGCGTGAAATTGCAACGAATACAGGCACCAATGTCTATATGACGATCATGCAAAATGGCACATATTTCACTAGGAAACTCTGTCGCTGGCGGACGCCATCTTGGTTCAGTTTTCAAGTCAGTAGATATGTAGGGATCCTCTTTGCTTACTTTGATTANTTTGTCGTTGTGGTTTTGACTTTACAAGTGTTTCTACCAGCATTAGTACCAACATCGATCGACATCTGCCTCAATAACATTGTAATGATCTCCGTATGGTTAGTTTGATCCCGTGGTATACGTTGTGCTTATTGAGATCATGAAGAAAAGAAACAGGACGTTTTTTTGGTGGCGCATTCCTTTTTAGACAAAGTATGGGATTACCCTTCAAGGTTACAGTTTCAAGGTTACAGTGTGAACGATTGTGATAACTAACAGTAATGGATTAATTAAATTTTGTAAGAAGATTAAGGAACGTTTTTCTCATGCCAGATGCAGGTCCATCTTCGTAGTCGCAGGATGTTAAAAGCTCTCTGCAAGTGCCTCTTCAGCACTTAATGCTAGGTCCTAATATAAGAGATTGATCGTCAAAGCAAGTCTAAAAGAAGCGGAAAAGTCCCTCACAGAATTCAGCTCTGACAGGGGCGTAGCTGCCTTTAAGCCATTAAGCCCAGGCTTAACAAATTAAAATTTGGGTCAAAATGAGTTCATGTAATTGCATGTTATCAGGGCGTGAAATTGCAACGAATACAGGCACCAATGTCTATATGACGATCATGCAAAATGGCACATATTTCACTAGGAAACTCTGTCGCTGGCGGACGCCATCTTGGTTCAGTTTTCAAGTCAGTAGATATGTAGGGATCCTCTTTGCTTACTTTGATTACTGGCTAGAGCCATTTGGGTTCAAAACTTGACGATTTGGAGGATCTCAGCTCTAAAATAACATCTTAGTAAACCGGCCTTTTTCTCCTTGTGTGTTCTGTTTCTTCTTGTTTTGTTTTATTTATATCTTTTTTTTGTGGAGACGTAGGACTTAGTCGACTTAATGGCATTGGCTACCACTTTGAGATATTAAGTAGCCAAGTAGATCCTACAAAAATGAGTTAATTTCATGCCCTGGCAGTAACTATGTTTAACTAATAGGTTATTCTGCATTTATTGATGTTAAACGCAACTTCGAGCAAACCAATCCATTTGAATGTTTCTTTACTTTATTGTACATTAATTGAAAATCGATCTATTTTATTTTGTCACCAAAATTCAAATGTCAGAGTCTTTACATCGGGAAGTTATTTTTAAACATGACTGATTTATAATCCCTTTTAAACCGGTAGAAACGTTCACTATAATTAACTTTTGGAACGCAGTATTAAGTCGAATCCCGTATTTTCGAGAGAAGTTAAAAGACATTGCAAGTTGAGCAGAAAGGGTAATAACCCCGGGAGAAAAGAGTGAGCAAACTGTTTCTAAGCCTTGGCAATCGAGTACTTGGTTAGTTGATAACCGTAATAAGGGCCCAACAAGGTTCTATTTCTTTTATTTACCTGACAGAGCTATTTCTACCAAGAAATGAAATAATTCTGGCAACAAGAAAGAAAATCTGTACCTCACCTTCCTCATTGGTTGCTCCTCGGTCTCCTCGTGGCTGTGAGCTACACCCATCCAAACCTCTTATCTCATTGGTCCCTATAACCTGCACTACCGATTGTTTTCAGGGATAGGAACATTGTTATGTCACAATCCCTATTGTTTTCCCAGCCAATCACAAACCTTGTTTGGAATAGGTGCAGGTCGGCCCCCTATAACAGCCGTAGCCAGGTGACTTTTTCGGGTCGGAGGGGGGGGGGGGGGAGGTGTTTGACGTCGTTGTTTTAAGCACCTTTTGGAATACACATATTTTTCGAGATTAGTAAAAGTCATTATTAGGATAGTAAAACCATTTTTATGTTTTTTCTTTCATTAGAATTTATTTATTAATTTTTTAACCTCTTCAATTTTTATCCTTTTGCTCGTTTTCTGTTTACTCCGTTACTCGTTACTGCGTTACTCTGGTTAGTAATACCCCTGCTGGAACACATGAATAGGAAGACAATACAGTGGAAATAGAGGATATTACATGGCCGCGCGGAGATAGGAAATTTCTCTTCGAGTGCCGAAAAATATTACGAGTGAAATATTTTTTCAACA